GCATCTGTCATTTAGATTACCTGCATTAGCATAAATTATAGTCTGTTCTGCAGGAATTTCATGTTCTGGGTTGCTTCCCAAAGTGTATATCCCCAAAGGGAAGAATGGAAGTTTCTCTGGAGTAGAGCACTCACTATTGCATCTTGAATTCCCAATTATACAGCAGCAGACCAGCTAACAAGAAAGGTGGAAGCCAGGCTCTCCTGGCAAAATCAAGGGAAGGGGAGATGGCTCTGTGAAATGGGGTGCAAGACCCAATCAGAGTACATAAAGTGGGTGCAGGCCGGCTACGCAGTGCTGGCTGTGGCTCACTGCCAGCCTATAGATGTGCAAGTCCTGGATGTGTAAATACCCAGCGCAGGGAAGAGGCAGCGCTGCCCACCCGCCGAGGGGCTCTGCGCGCAGGGCCAGCACCGCTACGGGGCAGCGATGGGAGGGTCTACCCGGGTGCCGGGGATGGGAAAGATCGGGGAGGCGGTGGGAGCCGGTAGGATGGAGGGAGGGGAAAAGCGGGAGAGGAGGGAAGGGGGTAAAGGGAGGAGAAGGGGAGGGGACAGCCAGGAGGGAGGGGAGAGGGGGAGCTGAGGAGATGATAAAGCCGGGGAGGAGGGTGAGAAAGGCCAGCGGAGCCGGGCGAGCGGGGATGGGGAGGAGGGCGTGAGCAGGGCTGCTGCGGGGCCGTGCCCGGTGGTGCGGTACTGCCCGGACGGCAGCGGCGGGGAGCGGGACGGCGCCATGGGCTGCGGAGGCAGCAGGGCCGACGCTATCGAGCCCCGCTACTACGAGAGCTGGACGCGGGAGACCGAGTCCACCTGGCTGACCAACACCGACTCCGAGAGCCCACCGCAGGAGGGCGGCAGCGCCGAGGCGGGCGGCCCGCGCCCCGGTGAGTGGGGCCCCGCCGCTGGTGGGCCGAGCGGGAGGGGCGGTGATGAACACCTGTATACACATATATAGATAGTGCATGTAGGCGTGTATGTCCCCCTATAGATGGTGCATGTAGGTGTGGGTGTTCACCTATAGATAGCACATGTAGGTGTCTATGTCCACCTATAGATAGCACATGTAGGTGTCTATGTCCACCTATAGATAGCACATGTAGGTGTCTATGTCCACCTATAGATAGCACATGTAGGTGTCTATGTCCACCTATAGATAGCACATGTAGGTGTCTATGTCCACCTATAGATAGCACATGTAGGTGTCTATGTCCACCTATAGATAGCACATGTAGGTGTCTATGCCCACCTATAGATAGCACATGTAGGTGTCTATGCCCACCTATAGATAGTGCATGTAGGTGTGTATATCCCCCTATAGATAGTGCATGTAGGTATGTACGTCCACCTACCTATGTGCTTCACCTGCTCTGCAGAGAACGCCTTTTTCTACACTAACCAAGAAACATGCACACCCCGGGGTCTGTGCTTAAAGATGTCGTGGGCTGCCCACAGCACCACTGAGCGCTCCGGGCTTCTGCCGGTCCCCAACCTCCAGGAAGGATTGTGGCTGTTGGCCCCTGGGCGTTTCTCTAAGAGCTTATTCAATATCTAGAGATCTTCTCCCCGTGGTGCTTGGCATGACAGAGAGCATATAAATGCCATCAGCAATGCAGTATCACCAGAGGGGAACTTGGTCTTTGAGGCTCTTGCTAAGGCTTTTTTTGCAAACCAAGTCATTTGGAAATAGGTTTAGAATAAGGAAGATGTGGTGATATGCCAGCCTTCTTCCACACTACCTCAAATTAGGATGATACACAGAAAACTAATCAGATGGTTGGCTGCCCCAGAGCTGACCTACAAGTTGGAATTTCCCATTTTTTCTCATTCTGGGCTGAGCACATAAGCTATTATAGTAGGGACAGAGATGGGGAAGGGAATGAGGAGCCCTGAACTGACAGGGGGTTTAAAATATTTTAGAATTATGATGTATTGCAGTGGTATCTAGAAAGCTCCAGCAATGAAGGCTAAACACAGGGATTGTTATCTCTGCAGCCACACTTAGCATTACCTGTGCTCCTTAGTTTACTTAGCTATTACTGCTTAGCTACTTGGCTGCTCTAAGTTTAGTTGGTGCCTAAACATAAATGGAAGCCAATTAGTTCAAGATTTGATATTGAACAGGAGGTGATAAAGGGGTAGACCGGTAAGTATTCTTCCTAGAAACAAGTGATACTTGAGTTTGTGTTTACAGATGAGAATACCAGAAATAAAAAGAAGATAACACTGAAGTCCAATAGAGACTGATTAGGGTAAGAGAAACTCTTTTACAAGAAAACTTTGCAGAAGAGATTAGAGAGGAAGGGAATGAGGACAGGAACAAAGGAAGGACTAGTAGGACTTCAGGAAGGGTGAGACTGACTCTTTAACACAGCTGTGGTGGCAGGATTGCACACAGGTCCCGATTAGTACCATCGAGTACCTCATTGAGAGCTGCTGTGGGTTAAGGCAGGTTAAGGTTAAGGTAGGAAAGGAAAGGAATAAGGAGAGGTACTCCAATGACTAGAAACAGAATGTTCAGTGAATTTACAGATGAAAGGGAGAGGAAGCAGCAAATGGAGGGGCAAATAAGGTCAAGTATGAGTTTAAGATGTGAAGAGGAAAACCTGGATTTATTGTGAGAACTGAAAACTACCTAAGAGTGAGAGATGAAAGGGAAGAGTGAGGGAGGGGTAAGAGCAGGATGGGGGAGAGAGAAGATGGAATGTGACACTGGCATAAGTGGAGGTAGGAAACTTCTGTAACTGAAACATAGAAAAGGAGGAGGCAGCTGGGGAAAGGGGGACCAGCCAAAAGGCAGCTGGGGAGAAAGGAGTGAAATTGTTCTTTGTCATCTTTTGTTTGGAACAAATGGTGAAATTCTGTTAAGAGAGAGAAGTGGAGACAGGATGAAGGAAAGATTTGAGGAAAAAGCTGTGATTGTCAACATCTTTCAGTTAAGTGGGGAAAAAAAAAACCCACCAGACACTGGACATCAAAATGGAAAGAGGAGTAAATCACTCAGGGATGAAAGAATGTATAGTATACAGGATCATAAAGTGTTAATAACTACCATATATTAATCTTAATAATTTCATCCCACCCCAAAATTTTGTTATATCCTTCTCTTTTTGTCAGCCAGCATCTGCCTTTCTGTGTTTGCTCACTGGAGCTATATGTATTTGTGTGGCCAAATATTTGTATTTTTACTAAAGCATTCTGAAAGTTAAAGTGTTTTTAAATTGAAAACAAGATAATGAGATTGGTTTGTTGTTTGTTTTTTTTTAATTTTCCCTTTGCTTTGCCTTCCTATTTCAACTGATCCTATTTCACTTCCCTACTTGATTTTTTACATCAATTTTAACGAACTGCATTGCAAGCTCCCTATTTTTGACAGGGAGATATATAGAGCAGCATCAGTTGTTATAGTATAGCTGTATAATATAGACAGACAACTTTTCCTAGGTTCACAAGTCACTAACAGCTGTGAATATAGGTGATAGCAACTTGTTGCAGTACACTGCTGAGGCTTTGACAGTGATGAATAGAGTAAATTGATCCTGATGAAGAGCGGTAGAAGAGCAGTGTGTACCTTCATGAAGCACTGCTGGTGGTGCTGGTGGTGAAACTGAAAGACATCATCTAGGAGAGAAGCGTATGTGCTGTTCTTAGGCTGGGTGGTTTCCATGAAGGGGGAAAAAAGGAAAGACTCATGGTGAGCCCAAACAATAGTATGATTTCTCTTAAGAACTTCCACTGCTATGTGAGCGAACAACTTTTCACAGGATTCGGCTACTGCTATAGTTGGGGAAAATAATAGGTTAGATTTCTGCTTAGTAACCATTCTTTGATCTTTGCAACCCCTTGCACAAATTGCCTTCTCTTTAGAGGGTCTGATTCAGCTAAGTGGAAGAGTTAGCACAAATAATGACTTTCTGGAGAAGTAAGAATCTGTAGGAGCAGGAGAGTCCCCGGGGCAGTCACCACAGGTTACAGCAAACCGCAGGGGAGAAGCTGAGTTAACAAAAACTGCACAGAACCTGTCAAGTATTGGAACACATTTGCATAGCCTGCTGTGTTACACCAGGGTAACTTATATATGTGTGTGTGTGTGTGTGTGTAACTTCAGATGCACAATTTCCTACCAGAAACCAGTTCTGTAAAAGTGCTTTACAAACCCATTCAGTATCAACTATAACAAAACATTTTTTGATGTTGTTTTAAAGCAGGCTTTAGGTCATTTTATTTCTATTTTTTCTATTTTTCAGTGTATTCAATTTATTTTTTTTATTATACTTGAAATTGCCTCAATGGATAAAGCAGCATGTTGCCTCATGGTTAGAGAAACCTTACAATCATGATTTACCTCATGGGCTGCAGATGCCTTAGGACAGGATCTTTCCTTGTTGTTTTCCAACAGCAGCCAGCACAGTAAGATAAGCTAGACATTGTTACTGAAATGCAAATAATAATGATTAAGTTTTTCACTTGGTGAAAAATAATTCTTTTGAATTAGAACTAAAAAGCTGCATATTGTTTGCCTCAGGGCTCACTTGTTCAGTTCCTCAGCTCATAAAACATTTGTTTTTTTATCATTACTTGACTCTCAGTATTGGCTAATGCTTTAAAAACAAACATTGTTTGTTTATTCTTTGTAATTTGCACTGTTTCTAAAGTAAAGTCATTTTTCCCTGGAGCATATTAAGGAAAAACATTATCCGTGTTTCACACACTCACCAGGGACTTGGGAGAAAAACTTGCTCATGTCATCAGCAAATGTACCTACAATCAGGGGTCTGCCAGGAATGGAATCTGAAATCTAAGATCAGTTCATCCCCTAGTGAAGGCATTTACAAAATAACTATGAAATGGGAGTAGAATCAAGTCCTTCGTAAAAATAATATAGAAAATTAGCAGAATACAGGAGAAATTTTATTGTGTTGTAGCAATCTGGCTGGCTAACAGTTTGTCTTGCATAGTTAACTTATATATAGTTGTGCATTTATGAATAATTCTTGCTCTTTTCTCTGGGGTTACATGTCCAGTTTATGCTGCTGCACTTATCTTTTCTGGTCTCTGACAGCTGTGGGAAGTTTTACAGTCCAGGTTAATCTTTGCAGCTGGGCTCTGTCCGAGACTCAGGATGCAGAATACAGGGTTTCAGAGGTAACCTTGCACAGAGAAGTTTTTGAGGATTGCTTTTCCATTCTTCACAGTAGCAGGACTGGGAGCAGCACAGTGGAAGAGCAGGGCTGTGCGCACACCAGTTGCCATAACAACAGGGACTGGTGCTGGTCTGGACCACAGCTGCAGGCATCTGCTCTTGCAATTACCACATGTTCGTAAAGGTAAAACCTTAGCAGGAATGAGTAAGCAAGCATCAGGTTGTAAATTAATAACTTGATGCAGCAGATGGCTCCTTGCAAATTGGACTGCAGAGAAGTATTTAATAAAAATTCTATTTTAGGTTAAGAGCCAAAGAGGGATCACTTTTACTAGTGTGTAACATTGGTATATCAGGATCTCTTTCTGCTCTTGTGTCCATTTACTACTGTTTTTTTATTAACAGGTTTCTTTTAAATCTGGTATGTTTAAGAAACAATTTTAACAGTTATTCTGGTATTTTCAGGACATAACCTTATTACAGTTCAGAATTACAGTAAAAGTGAATAAATATAGCCTCTGTCTGGACTGTAGGCATATTACAGGAATTCCATATCCCACCGTAGCCAAGACCCTGGCTATAATGATGTAATGGGTTTGCATGGCAAGGTTTTGGTAGCAAGGGTAGCTTCTGTGAGAAGCTGCCAGAAGCTTTCTCCATGTTTGACAGAGCTAATGCTAGATTGCTCCAAGATGGACCCACTACTGGCCAAGGCTGAGCCCATCAGTGACGGTGGTAGCACCTCTTGGATAATGTATTTAAGAGGGGGGAAACGTTATTGCACAGGAGAAACTGCAGCTGGAGAGAGGAGTGAGAATATGTGAGAGCAGCAGCCCTACAGGGACCACTGATGGAGCAGTTCATGAAGAACTGCAGCCTATGAGAAGGACTCACTTTGAAGGTGTTCATGGACGACTGCCTCCTGTGAGAGCAGAAGAGTGTGAGGAGTCCTCCCCTGAGGAGGAAGGAGCAGCAGAGACAACATGTGGTGAACTGACCACAACCCCCATTCCCTGTCCCTCTGCACTGCTGAAGAGAGCAGTTAGAGTAAATAGGGAGTGAAGTTAAGCCCAGGAAGAAAGGTGGAGGGAGAAGGTGTTTTAAGAATTAAGGGGGGTTATTTTCTCATTATCTTGCTCTGATTTTGATTGGCAATAACTTAAACTAACATCCGCAAGTCCAGTCTGTTTTGTCTGTGACAGAACTGGTGAGTGATCTGTCCCTGTCCTTATCTCAACCCTTGAGCTCTTTGGTATATTTTTCTCTCCCCTGTCCTGCTGAGGAGGGCAGTGGTGGGCTTTGGTGGGCACCTGGCGTTCAGCCAGGGTCAAGCCACCAGACTGAGGAAATTATATTTGCTGAAACATCCCATTTTAATATCATTTCCGGATTCTAATTATGTGATCTCTGCTGTTTCAGTTGTCACAAACCTCTATATGGAAGGTGGTACCAAGGAAAACTTTGTAAGCCACCCAAAAAGAGAAGACAAGAAAAATACCTTGCGCGATGTTTCATAGAGTAGGGGGAGAATGCTTTTGCATCTATATTTTACCACCTAGCTTTCAGAAAGCGGCCTTCTTATGTGTCTTTTCTACTTTGTACACCAACTTTTTGTGTTAACATTTACATGGATGTTTAATAAACTTCTTAAACATGGGAAGTGCCTCTGTAGAGGGGGTTTGTGTAGGTGCTTCCATCTGCACAAGAAGATTAGGTTTAAAGCCTTCTGAAAGTCACTTTCTTAGTAGCGTGATTTGGTAGGGCTGTTCTTCAGAGGGTTTCTTTCTGAGTGGCACCTCATTTTGTGTCGTACCTCACTACACCCTGGAAAACCACATAAACAGAAAACTTTGGTGTCAGCACTGGATCTACAAACTCAGTACCAAATGTGGAGGTAAGCCAAAGCAACGGAAAAGGCCAGAGCCCCTGCTGCCTCAGAGGAGTTAACCAGTCCCATATGCTGTAGGGATTTCTAGTCAATCTCATCTCAGCACATCTGCCGGAGAGCAGTGGGAAGTGCTGCAGGAAGGAAGGGAAATAACGCTGATGCACCACCCAGCCATATGCCTCCCTCGGGAACAGAAAAATAATCATTTTTGCCAGAAAACCCCTGACATTTCTGCATCAGTCTATGGGTCAGGGAATTATAAATAACCCTAGATAACAAAAGAAGAAAGTAATAGAATTAAATGGATAATCTCAGTAATAAATTATGGTTGTCAATCTGCTGACCCAAAACTACTGGTCATTGCCATTCCTCATTCAACACGAACACAGTTAAAGATTGCAGTATTGGCCTAAACCAGTATTTACTCCACCACAAGACAACACTGAAATTATTGGAAAAATTAGACTAAGCTGATAAATACAGTTTTTTGTAATAACCATATTTTCCAGCCCCACCATAGCTGTTAATTCTTCCAATCCACGCATTTTCTTCGTTCCTGTCACTTGACGGTTCAATACGGTGTTAATTTCACATAGGTACAGATGGCATTTAAGAACAACAGCTGAAATACAGATTGGAACCAACAAAGTATTTCAACATATTGTCAGAGAACTTTGGCATTTCATTTTATATCCCCAAGTCATCCACCCCTTCCCACCCTACTCCTCAAAACTAAATATCTCCTATTTTTAAGGATGGGAAATAGCCCTATTGATATTGAAACCACCTATGCTTAAGCTTTTTGCTAATTTATGGAAGTACAAGTGTTACAAAATGCAAATACTGTTTGAGATAATGTATAGGGAATGTAAGTTATTTGGATGGGAATGTTGCTGCTATTTTGCATTATGGCCATTCCATGTAATTATATGCTTTGTGGGTGTTGTATTTATTTTGTTGATTCAGTTGAAAAATGTCACTGATACTTATTTTGCCCATCAGAACACACTAAGCAACCTCTCTCTACCATCTCTAAAAGTATTTTAAAATTAGTTCTTTAGTAATAAATATCAACTGCTGTACAACAAGGAAGAGTCCATAGAAAGCAAAATTTTATTGGAAGTATAATAATAAGATAATTGATAGACAAGTTATTTTCTTCTATTATGAGCATTCAGCTTGCTGTCTTGTGAGATGTATTAGACTCAATTGCTGGGAGAAATTCAATCTTGTTTAATGGTAGGTGATTGGTGACATTCAGGTACTGGACAAAGCTTGCTGAAGGGTCCTGATGTCTCAGGGGGGAGCAGTTGCCCCAGTAGCCCTGCAGCAGGAGGGTAGGGCAGGGGCTGGCAGGGCTCTCCAGCTGCCTGCTCCTTCCTCAGTCTTGCACTTTTTGACTCTAGGATTCTTTCAAAACTGCAAAAGCTGAAAACCCCCATTTTAAAATTTAGTATAATAATTTTTCCACAAAGCCTCTTAATCTCTGATTAATTCCCATTTGACTAATGGGCAAAAACCTGCTAAACCCTCCTGCAGTCTGTAGCAGATCTACTAGGATTGATTGCCCATGGTTTCCCCCAGTATACTCATTTACCCAGTGGTAAAATAAATTCACTAACAATAGGATGCGCATTAATGCTTGAATTAGATGAAAGGCTTTCCTAGCTCCACAGGACCAGAAAGGAGGAAGGCTGTTGAGCACCAATGGAGATGATTGGCAGGAGAGGTGTTTTGAAACTTTCTCTCCAGATGGTTTCCTGTGGAAAACATTCTTCTTGTAGCATTGAAATCTTTAGTGAGAAAAACTTTCTGGGTGCCAAAGGGCTGTCATCAAGTACAGGAAGAACTGTTGCCCTCTGCCTGGGCAGCAGGCACTGGGGAGGAGGGATGGTGTCTGAAAGGTTTTGAGCAGGAGACCTGAGCAGTGGGTTTTGTTAATGGCAGTTCCTGTCTGCAGGATGCTCAGGAAAAAATTGTTCTGCAAAATTATTTTTCTTGTGGAAAAAGCTCTATTTCTTTTTTCCCTTTAAATCCTAATTCAGGACATTTAAAAATTCTTGTTTCTTTTTCTCAGGAGTGAATTTACATTTTCTGGTCAGTTCTAATCCTGTATTTTCCAGTTTAGGAATATAGAGTTCAAAACTAACACTAACAAACGGAATTAGCTTAAAGTGAAGGCTCCTGCCAGTGTGACGTAGAGGTGTGCTGTATGTCATACAGGAAACACAGTTCAGAGTGCAGTTTATCTCATTGCCTGTTAATTAAAATATTAAAAATTTCCACAGAGCACGTACTGCAGTAATCTAGCATTTAAGTGACAGAAATCTGTCTTTTCTGTACCTGTGGTCAGGTATAGGACTTTCAGGCTTTTTTTCATAGAATCAGAACTGATCTTTCTAGTCCCACTGTTTGGGGTTTTTTCCCTCAGATATTCCTGCAGTTTAAAAATGAAATAAGTTGATTGCAGTTAAAAAGATCTGAAATTCAAAGTTGGGTTTTATCTTAAATCAAAACGCAGTAATGGTTAAGAATCAGAAACTGAATGATGGAAGCCAGGAGTTTATTGTAAGGCTTTTTGTTTGACTCACATAAAGCAGTGCTCTCTTTTAGATTGTGCGGATAATATTCTGAAAGCTGTGTGATTGTGTGCATTTCTCAGGTTCTTCATAAAAAAAAAAGTGCCTTGGTTCTTCATAGCATGCAAATAAATGATGTGTTCCTATCTCAATTTTATTTGATGAGTACCTGCATAACTTCTTCCCTAGACTGTCATGCTGCCTTTCCTCTTCCGTTTAGGAAAAATACAGGTTAAAAGTAAAACAAACAGGTAGATGGGGAGTGACATTTTACTGACTAGCATGGGCAGCAGTAGGCTGCAAGGTAGGATTTTCCATTAAGGTTTTCCTGAATCCACTGATGCCCTCAAGATTGTTTCTGCATTGCTGTTTGCTTGACTGAGCCTTAAATTTTAAGCAGCCTCCTGGGAGATCATGTATTCGGGCTTGCCTGTTCAGATGGATGCTAGATACTGAGAGCAAAATAATCAGCCAATACTCCATAGATTGATTTTTTTTTTTTTAATATATATATATATGTAATTTTTTACCAGTTTCCTAGCAATGCATATGGTTGTGTTTCTTCTTTGTTTCATATGGCTATTGTCTTCATGTTCCAATTGTCATTCTTGTAAACTGCTAGTATTTCCCCAGTGGGCCATCAGAATTGCTTCAAGCACTTGCAGTGCTAAAAGCATGGGTTTCTGCCACTTGGATAAAGCTGGTGCCTGAGTGCTTTCTGAGTGTTTACATTGCCGTGGAAAAGATGCAAAAGATTCTTTCCTGAATTAATTCCTGTATGGAGCATACCTTTGGGACATTCACAGCTTTCCAGTGGCTGACATTTCAGCAAAGTCTTTGTAAATTGGGCCAGTAGCTAAACACTCATTGTTAAAATACACGTCTGATGTCTTACCTGGAACATTTAGCTTCAATTTACAGCTGCTGAACCATTTCAGAAGCTTGAGTTTCTTTTAGATGTTTTTCATAAGGATTTCTGTTTGGTCTGCCTAAATATTTTTGCTGCTCCCTAGTGTGATTAATTGAAATGATACTATCTGCTCATCTTAAAATTTCATGTGTGATTAGCTAGGTAATGAGAATAATAATACTACTTTCCATTTCTGGATTGGAAATTGTTCTAAAACATGAGTGATGTGTCATAACCACATCCTGAATGAGAACAAAAGACCACGTGAAGGAGGAGGAAAGGCCATGTGAACATCTACAGATCTAAGCTGCAACTAAGAACCTGTCTTCAGATGGGGTGGGTACAGTTGTGGGAAGGATGGCTGAGAGGCAGCCAGCTTGTTTTCCACCTTACACAGTGCTTTCCTGTAATGGGAACATCTTTCTTTGTATTTTAAAGGAAAAGATCAAACAGGAACTGAGCCAAAAGCAAGCCCCTTTGGAAAACAGGCTGACTTGACTTGGTTTGGACACCCATGATATAAAGTATTGTGCTTGGAGGGTACCATTTTCAGGTGAATTTTTCATGGGCAGCACTGAAACAGCCTGTGTCTTTGCATGTACAAAAGCAGATCCCTGCACTGCCTGTCCTAAAATGCAGTATTATGAAAAGCACCTCAGAGGTTTGCTATTTGTAGGTTATTTTTTTCGCTTTGGAGGGATGAGTGATGTGTTTCTGGCACATCATGTGGCACTGGTAAGTTGCTTAAACCATTCCATCTCATGATTTTCCGAGGAATAAAATATACTCAGTCTTCACTGTCTTCCAAAATGTAGCCAATTGTTATTCCACAATATAGCAAAAATTTGGTGGTTCTTTCCTGTTCCGGTTATTAAAATTTTTCTTTATCCAAATTCTGCTGTCTTTCTGACATTAAGTGCTTCCCTAGCACCACCATTACAAATTTACCTTTTCTATCTTCCCTCCATAGTCAGACCAATTCCCCCTTATTCTGCTTCTGAAGTCTATTTTCCACATAGCATCCTTTGTCTTGAGCTTTGGAATGATCACACATTGTTTACGATTGTTGCAATGTTTGGAATAAATACAGATTTTATATTCACCTTTCATTTCATAGATGCAGTTGCAACATTATTAAGTCTGTTTAAAGGTACTTGTACCATGATTCTGTATCATAATTTGAAATAACATATACCAATAGGCAAAGACTTAGCATCTGCCTGTACTTGGGAAAATAAGCCGTATAAGGAATATCAAGGTTTTCAGCTTTAATGCTGCGTGTTTTATAGTCTACTTGTCTGCTAGAACCCTTGAATACTCTCTAGTTGAAATTGTCATACTACAGTAACAAATCTGATCAGACTTTCAGAGCTATTTACTGTACACTTATTTATCTCTGTTAAATTCCAGTTTTAAAGTTTTTTAGAAAATCCTTTTATCTGACATAAGGAGCCTCTTGCCTTATTTCAAAATGGCAAGGGTAAAAGAAGTTTTGAAATACAGAAATCTATAGGACTGTTTGTTTTAAGTTCAGAAAAGAACTTAGGAGATAGGAAAATAAGCAAACCTGCCAGCCAAAACTGTCACAAGCTGTGGTGCTTGGTTTCTCAGTTTTGCCAGGACTCCAATGTGCATATATTCATTTAAAAGCATTAAATATATTAGTTGTAAGTCATTTCTTTTAGTACTGGATTAAATATTTAATACCATAATCTTACAGAAAAACATAATTCCATAAGGCTCCTGAATGTGAGAAAACCATGGCCAGATCAGGATCTGAGTCTGATTTGCCTTCTGCTATTAGCTATTATCTGATCCCTGCTGTCTTTCATGAATAGAGAATTTCCTCTTATTTATCACCTACTTCTCTTACCTCTGAAAGTAAAAGAGATACCTTCTAAACAGAGGATGAAGAGGCTGTTTGTGGTGTAGGGCGAGCTGAGTTCAAACAAGCACACCATGGAAGCTGCGAGGAAGGCACACAAAGCTCTCACCACTCCCCCATGCCTGCTGTGTGCTGGGACATGGCTCAGCCCTGCCTGGCTGGAGTCAGCTCGTGGGGTCACCTGCCATGCCTGCGTGGGGATTTCATGTAAGGAGGACAGATGTCCTCCCTTGCCTTCACCCCAGCCTGTGCCGGAATCATTTCTGTGGCACCTCTCAAGAGAGACTCCACAGTTTCGATGGCTGATACACAATGCATAGGAGATGCAAATACATTTAGCTTGTTTTGCTTCACTGTCTAAAATTCATATCACACGAGAGTTTGGATAAATCATTCTGGATTCTCTGAATGTCTAGACAGCTTATTGAGTTATTATACTTACTGATTCAAGAAATGCAAAACATCGTTTCTGATGACATTTTCTTGCCTTCTCCCTCCATAGATCTTGTGGTTTCTCCGTCCTGGCTTTCAAACCCACTCTTTGCTATGCCTGAAAGTTTCTAAATGCTTTCTTGTTAGGGGAAAAGAAAAGCTATTGCAGATTTCCTGAGCATCTGGACTCATCCCTGAGGCTACTGCTTTGGAGGAGATGACTTAAACTTGACTTTTGTCACCATCTCCACTCCATTAATTTTTGATGGGATCCATGCTGTGTTGCTATTTCTGTAGCAGAAGTACATACCAGCACTCAGGCCTGCAATTTGTAGCTTTCCCAAACATGAAAATTTTCAAATAATGAAAACAGGTATTTCAGGGATCTCTGTACTTATTATCACTCTGTAGCATTAAAAGCAACTCAGTGATGGTAACAAATACAGATTTCCTATGGAAGCAACTGCACGTTGCTTCCATTCGTCTTTACTGTGAGTTATCTGAGTCCATTTTTACAGTGCAGTATCTTATTATGCAGGCATTTGTTAAAACATCTTCTGCATTATTCATGTGATAACAGCCACAATGAATAAAAAAAGGTGCTGCTGAACAAGAAAATTGAACCTCAC